AAAGGATCCTTTGCAGCAGATTTGTCCACGGTGATAACGAGTTTGGTTTCTTGCCCCATGGGCTTTGATTGTGGATCCAAGTGAAATCGTTGACAACATCAATCTTTTTTCGGTTGATCTTGCTGGTCCACTTGTGAAGGTCGTTGTTGACTTGATGTTGAGGCGTCCTCCCTCCTTTGCTCGTCACCAGTAAGTGCCTCGGACCCTCTTCGCTTTCAGCAAGCAAGGTTGTGTCATCTGCATCTCACACATGGGTCATGGATATACCTCCAACTCTGGTGCCCTGCCCGGGCCCCTTCCTCCAGTTCAGCTTCTGCCCGGCTTTGCTCCGGCGATTGAAGGAACCACCCGGACTCACACCCGTCCTGCTTTTAAACCTTTCGGGATCCCTTGTTTGGTTCAAACGACTAGTCTGTGTGCAGCTCTGTCGGTGGGCAGTCCAGTGTTTGGGAAGTCCCATTCTTCCTCCCAGGTATTTCTGCCCTCCCTCGCTCTTTCTATCTCTACCAACATGAACAACGTCGTACAAACAGGCAGGCCAGGCCAAGTCAACTCGACTTTGGAATTTGCTAAGAAAGCTCACCCTGCGGCGTCTGGGCAGGCGTGGACTGGGTGTTGGACTTGGGTTGGAAGCCCAGCTCAGCCCAGGACAGCTCAGCGGTGTGCCTGTGGGCCTGGGAGGCCCTGCTGGGAACTCCCATTTCGATGGTCACTGGCCAGAGCTGTAGGGCGCACCCCACAGAACACTTGTGCGGGGCTGTTTCCAAGGGGCTGCTGGCCACTGTTCCCGTGTCTTCCAGGGGCGAGTCTGGAGCCGGGAAAACAGAGAACACCAAGAAAGTCATCCAGTACCTGGCGGTGGTGGCCTCCTCCCACAAGGGCAAAAAGGATGTCAGTATTACGGTGAGTGGGGACCGTCTGCCCCGAGGCCCTGCCTGAGCAGTGGGACCCCCCACTTGCAGCCTGATGTAGATACCCATATCCAGTACCACGGTGAGGGAGACCCGGAGTGGGCTGAGGCTTTTCAGGACAGAGAGTTTTAAGAACTCAGCCCGGCGCTTGCCACCCTTCCCTGGCAGCTTACAGCAATGTCCCCTTGGGCCTACTCGGATCTGGACAATTCCTCAGAGGGCCCTGTTTGAGGAGCAGTCAAAGGTTTGCAGTCAAAGGTTCTCGACTGAGACACGAAAGGTGTGATGCCATTTCATTCTCTGTTGTGAGGGCTGCCCTGGGCATTGTAGGGTGTTTAGAAGCGTCCCTGGGCTCCACCCACCAGGCACCCTTAGTACATCTCCCTTAGTGCCCACCCTGCCAGCCCCCAATCAGGATGACCATAAGTGTCTCCAGACTTGGCCCATGTCCCCACTGGGCGCAAAACTGTAGCTGAATCTCTAGAAATGCACTGGAACCGAGGCTCACTCTGGGTTTGCTCTCCCCTCCCTGTGTTCCCGGTGGGCTCCCTCCATCCAGTGCTGCTCAGTCACACTTAGAGACTGAGCCCCTACTGTGTGCCCAGCACTGCTAGCTCCAGGGATGTGCTCTTCTATGGGCTGAGCTTCTAGAGCGGTGGGCAAGGGGGGCAGTCACCCAGAAATCACCCAGACGACGGCGCAGAGTGTGGCTAAGGGCTTTGGGGGGAGATAAGAGGAGGTTTCTAGAGGCAACGCACTAGGGTGGGTTTTCTGGGCCTGTCCTTCCTGTCCTCTGTCCCAGAGGTGGGACAACAGTGACCCACTGGACGGATTTGGCAGCAACCCCGCCTGCAGGTTTGGGAGCAGGAGGACGTTCCACTTGGGGCTGGACTATAACGGAGGGTGGAGGGCAGATACCACTGGTTCCCGCCATGCCAGGTCATTCCAAGCCCCTCCAAGGTGACCAGCTGTCCGACGGCCACAGAGGCCAGCTTGTCTGAAAGCCCTCGGAGAGCCAAGGCAGGTGCCATTGTAGCTTTGGGGAACCCCTTTCCCAGA